AACGTCAGCCTCTCTGCTCCTATGATGCTGCTTGGCCTGCTGTGTTCATCCAGCCCTGCACCTTGTTGTCTCGGATTCTCCAGTGTCTGCAGTTCCTACTATCTCAGATGTTTTAATGAGATTGGTTTGGCCAGAGTAGGGCTGGAGGTTTTATTTCCATTTACAGCAACAACCAACTAAGCCACGTGACATTGTATGTGACATCTAGAAGTGGAGGAGCAGTGAAATTAAAAATGATAGTGAGACGATAATAAAACACAAGTCGGCCAGGGAAATAATTAATAGGAAGGCTAGAAAATAAATACTTAGAGAGATGTGAAATTCTCTGCCAAAAAAATTATTATTGAAGTTCACAAATTATTTTCAAAGTAATCAGATGTGTAAAAACAAACAGCGACGATTCAAATGAAATGAGGAACTGAATCTAAGAAATTGAGAGCATAAAATCCTATGCATTTGTGCAGATTTTGAACCTGGCCTCGATTTTAAAATGGCTGTGGAATTCAGCACACGCTGATTATATTATGCATAGCCAAGAGAGGGGCCCAACTGCTCAGAACTGGGAGAGCTAGTTTGCTCCAAATAAGCATGTTATCAACAATCTGGGTCAAGATTTGTTCTACACTGTACAAACTGCTGCCATTGCTACTGGATACGGAACTGTGGAGCTTGTAATTGATCTGCCTTGTGGAAATGCAGTAAAAATTACAATAAGAGCCTGCTGTGTTTTGAACAGAATTATACATAACAGCGTGAACAAAAGGCAGGACACCAGTCTGCTTTTAAGAAATAGTTGGACAGAATTGTGGGATTTCTGGAAGCAGCAAATGGTGACTGGAGAAGAAACCAAATGAAAAGAAGAAAAGGTCAAAGTAAAGAATTGCAAGGTTGCATCTGTACACACCACTGCACAGAAAAGTGTGCAAGGTCAGAAGTCACACAAGACCAGGTTACAGTCCAATAGATTTATTTGAAAAGACAAGCTTTCGGAGCCTCGGTCTTTCTTCAGGTGTTAGTGAGAGAGGTAGCATCATACACAGAACTTATGAGTAAAAGATCAAAGATTCACGCCATTGATGAGGATGTACTAAACAAACCTAAGGTTTAAATCTTTAATTAGTTAAAGGTTTTAATTGATTAATATGTATATGTAAATCCCGAATTCCTTCCAAGTGCCGATCCTGAGAGAACTAAAGGTTTTATCAGTGTAAAGTAGAGGTGACAATGTATAGTAACAAAAGTGTGAACAGACTCCCACTTGGAGGGTTGTTCTGAGAGGGGGCGGGTTGAACAGACTCCCAGCCGGAGGGTGGCGCTGTGAGGGGACGAGTGTGAACAGACTCCCAGCCGGAGGGTGGCGCTGTGAAGGGTCGGGTGTGAATAGACTCCCAGCCGGACGGTAGCGCTGTGAGGGGGCGAGTGTGAACAGACTCCCAGCCGGAGGGTGGCACTGCGAGGTGGGCGGGGGGAGGCGCGTGTGAACAGACTCCCAGCCGGAGGGTGGCGCTGTGAGGGGGCGGGTGTGAATAGACTCCCAGCCGGAGGGTGGCGCTGTGAGGGGGCGGATGTGAACAGACTCCCAGCCGGAGGGTGGCGTGTGAGGGCCAGGATTAAGCGGCTTTTAAGGCCTGTGCTGTTTCGGTTTTGCTGAGAAGAGACGAGTGGGTTCAGGTTCGGGTTGTTGGTTAATGATGAATTAAAATTTCACTTTGCTTTGGTGAATGAGAGAACCTGAACTTGGGAGAGAAAAGCAGTTGCTGCAAAGAGTGAGTCTGTCGGTGTTCACTCATGTACTTGTCTGGTTAAGATGGTTGAGTGTCCCCTGTATACTTTAGTGTGATTAGCACAGCTATACCTTCACTCAGAAACTGTTTATCACAGTCACTTAGATCTGTACCCGAGTCCTCGTAAGGAGCGCACAAAAAAAAAACTGGATGCTGGAACTCGGAAGAAAAATGTCTGGACATGTTCAGCAACTCAGGCAGCATCAACAAGAGAGGAACAGACTTAACGTTTCAGGTTTGTAGTATGATAAATAGCCACAGACCTGAAATGTTAACTCTTCCTTTCTTTACAGGTGGGAGCTGAGTATTTGGCACACATTTTGTTGCTCTCCCCAAGCTTTGAGGCTCTGGCTGTATACCTAAGATCCCTAGGATCTCTGACTTCTGCCTATCAATTCTTTTAATGCAACTATACCAATAATTCAGGAGCAAATTACTGCAGATGCTGGGATCCGTACTGAAACAAAAAAAGCTGGAAATCATAGCAGGTCAGGCAGCATCCATGCAGAAAAAGCAAGCTAACGTTTTGAGACTAGATGACTCCTGTTTAGAGCTCATCTAGACTCGAAACTTAGCGAAACCAATAATTCAACTAATCACGTTCTCATCCTGAAGTGGGGACAGAAATAATTGGGGTCTCTGTCGATATTTGAGCTGAGTACAAGGTGACATAGCTGTCATTGAAAGTTTGGAACTACATTAATCTGTTTTGGAAAATATGGTGAGTTCAGAAGCCAAGCAGATCTAAATTATTCAGTTAATGATTTAGCAATCAGTCCGGTTTACTTCTGAAACCTGAAGGAATTGATGTTTCGCTAAGGACTGGGATTCTTCCCACATTTTATAAAAAATCATTCGTAGAATGCAGCCTTTGCTCCCTCGACCATCCCTAGTTGTCTTTGAGATGTGGTGAGCTGCCTTCTTGATGCACTGCAGATCATTTGGTTCAAGAAGCCCCGCAATGCTGTTAGCGAGGGATTTCTACGGTTTTGACAACACCACTGAAGGTTTGATGATATATGTCTGAGTCAGGATGGTGAGTGGCTTGGAGGTAACCTGCAGGTGATGGTATTCCCGTGTTTCTGCTGCCTTTGTCCTTCTAGGTGGTAGTGGTGGACAGTTTGGAAGGTGCCTAAGGAGCCGTGACGATTTTCTGCAGTGCACCTCGTGAAAATACACACTACTGTTACTGTGAGGCAGTGGTGAAGGGAATGGATGTTTGTGGATGGGGTGTCAATCAAACAAGCTGCTCTGTCCTGGATGGTGTCAAGCTCTTATTTACCGTGGAAACTAGTTTGTTAAACTGTGTAGTTTTAATTGGTTAAATTGCAGCAGTGTGTAATTACATTTCCTATATGATCTGTGTGCATACAGTGGGTGTTCTTTCCTGATGTCTGCAAAGTTTTATAGGTCTACAACCAGGTTCTGTTCTTATCCATGGAGCTCTCCTGTTGCATTAATGCAGTGTTCCTGTGCTTCCCACAGTAGCATTGTTCAAGCATTCTGAATGCTGGGATGGATCGCAACCCATCTCCACCACCAAGTGATGAAAGCAGTGATGAGACAACCAGAGTTGATGCAATTGGGAACACAGTGTATAGTAAGCACTGGTTGTTCAGCACACTCATGAGGCTGATTGAGGTAACGTTTACATTCTGTATTTGTGCACTGTATACTAAAACGCAGGTCCTATTTTGAAATGATAGGAATGCAGATTTGATCAGTTTCATTAGGGCTTGTTGACTCCTCAGAAGGCAAATAAATTGAACGAACCTGACCCAACCTATAAATTATAAGACAGTTATAATTGGTCTGTGCTGCGCCACCTAATTTCACTTAAAATGATGCGGGGGTGGGGTAGAGGGAGAATGTCGGCAGAGTTCAGTGTCAAGTAGACTTTGAGTAAAAGGAATATGCGTCTGTCTGACTGAATTGGCTTCATGTGGAACACCCATATTATTTGATCAACCTGTTAACGGGAAGCATGACAAGGCCATAGAGGGCATCCACTCTCAATCATATCCGTATCAATAAAATATCATGATTTTTGTAACTCCAAGCGCAGAACTTGTATTACAATTACAGATTTTACTGGGGTATCTAGCAAGAAAAAGTATGCACAACAACACTGTACAAAGGCTGGAAGACATGCAAAATACATTAACCGTTTCACTTTCTCAGCTTGTCTCTCCAGAAGGTGAAGAGGTGGAAGAGTTAGATTCCAGAGCAGAGACAGAGCTGGATGAGGATCTGGAGAATGAGATCTGTAAAATGTGGGACATGTCAATGGATGAGGTAATCATGGAGTTCTATGGAGACCCTTGAATGTGGTGGTGATTGCTATCTGATTGAATGTAAGTGACTGATGTGTCTAGAAGGAATATCGTATCTATATTCCAAGTCTCAAAATCTCTTTGCTCTTTACAATTCTGTCTTTAAATTCCCTTCCCTGGCTCAAAAATCAATCATCTCTGCAGTGAGAGAGAAAGATGAACTAATGTCTAGCTTTGGAGATAAATAAGAGCATCTCTTAATTTGATATTCTGGCTTATTTTACTTCACTGTTGCTTCATTTCACTGAGAGAGGTTTAAGTAAAATGAGTGACTTCTGTGGTGAATTCACAAATCAATTAATTTTTCTCTTTTACTATAGCATAGTACATTGAACTGTCAGAGCAGCTCTACACTGAAAAGACACTGTGAGATTAAGTGATAGTGTGAACATTTTGTTTTCCAGTCATAGCTTTGTGGACTGTATTGTGGAAGGGATTGATGCATGTCAGGTTGTGTATGCTGAGTTGTAAGTGGTCAATGCCTCTTTGAAATGCAGCAATTTTGGTATCATTAACCATGCAGATTAAAGGGCTAGGACTTTACCGCAATGTTCTTAACCTTAAGACATAAATGATGGCTCTTCTTGTCAATATAAGATGTTTGGATACTGTACCCTGACTCAGATGCATGTCACTGTTACTTACTGACTAAGCTTTGTGTTTTGTGCTGCAGGATGTTGCTGTGTTTCTTCAGGAATTCAATGCTACAGACATCTTGTTGGGGATCATTGGTAAATCCAAGTGTCCCCGACTAACGGTGGGTGAAGCTTGCAGTAAGTGAGGGTTATTTGCAATGTAGTATGTTCCTGTCTAGTTCGTTGTATGGTGCCCTCAATTCTTATTGTTGTTGGAGAGTGAGAGACCTGGCAATCAGACTTCTCCAGCATAGTATCTAATTTTAGAATATCACCCGTGACAATTATACTTAGTTTGTAGTAATTTCCCAGTATTCATTTTGTGATACCTTTTTGCTATTGGGTGTGGTATGCACCTGGTTATTAATGAGATATGGTTTCCCTGTTACTGGCCTGTGTCTGGGTAATTGGCTGGTGGCCAACCAGCAATTTCTTACTGAAAAGGATCAAAAGGAAACCAGGTTGTACTCTTATAATGGAGACAGCTGTCTGGATGATTTCTGCAAAAGTAAGCTGAATATCGTTCCCAGTTATTTAACCTTCATTTCTGTGGAAAATAGTTATACAGGACAGCAACTTTAGAATATTGGTTATAAGGAAGTGCATTACACTCTGAAAATGGTTTTTCTCACCACATTTCTGCAAGTGCTGATCTGCTCACCTGCACCCTCCCCTCTAGCTGCGATACCCTCATCCCCAATAAACCAATTACTGTCTCTTATGCTGGTTCTCCCAGTAGATACCCTATCTCCCCAAAAGTCCAAAGGATATAGACTTGAAAGGATAAAATGCACAACTGATTTAGCTAGTTAATGTGAGGTATGGCTGGATATTGGGTTTCTCACTATTCCAGGATCATCCTCGAATGAAAGCTTTTATCTCTTGACTTCTTTTTAAACCTGTCACCCCATTTCCTTGACTGCAACAACAAATGCAGGGAGTTCATGGACTTCTTTTGTCACTGATTTTAAAACCAACTGAACAGTTGCCGCTGCCCCCTCCCATTTCACCGGGCCAAACTTCCTTAAAATTCCCTTTTGTCCCCACCTCGAACTTGCACATTTCTCCTTTTTCTGTCCTATCTCTTCAGGTCCTTTCCAAGTTCAACTTAACCATACAGTCCACTTCTTACTCCCTTATTCTTTCTAAGTTGCTAACTACCCAATTTCTCCTCCCGATCGCCATATTGATCGATATTGAAAATTGTTCATTCTCTTCAAGTGTTGTCCCTCTGTTCTCTAGATCTGTCATCATCATCCTTAAAAGCAAAATTCTTGATCCCACTGTCCTTGCAAAGTACGGTCCCATTTCCAGCCTACCTTTACTCTCCAAAATCTTTATGTGTTGTTGCTTCCTAAATTGGTGGTCAAGTTTCCTAGAACTGTGTTAAAATGTACAATTAACTCAATAAATAAGCTGAATAGTTATGCTTACATTCTGTACAGAATACTGTTCTCTGTGCTGCTGGAGATGGGGTGTGGGGAGTATGGTTTAAGATGGTACTTACCTGTAGGAAATTAAATGATGAGGCAGAATTCATACTGGGATAGGGGATAGTGTGTAAATGGTCTGAGGAAGGAGTGATCTTCAGATAATTGCTCATTTCTCATTCCATTTTCTTTCTGTGGCAGTGTTCTGTAATTGCTGAATAAAGTCTCTTCTTTATCGAGGTTAGGAAATTTGCGTTGGTATCCTGGGAAATATGGCTTGTTACAATGAGACCTGTCGGGCAATCAGTAACAACGATAATCTCGTGTGAGTATTGGTATACAACCCATGCTGCACATTCTTCAATAAATAACCAGTAAAAACATTAACTCCTGTCCCCATTGAGTATTGTTGGTGCAATAGGTTTTTAGAAAAACTGGCATAAAAAATGAATTAAAGATAAGCTCACAGCTTAGAATTTTTCTCTTTTGTTGTCCCCAGCTCTCCTGTACATGGAGCATGAGCTGGGCAAACCATAATTGATATTTTAAGTTCCAGAGGCTTCATCTTACATCAAAGAAACAATTCTCTCTGTAACCTCTAATAATGGCACCGGAGTTAAGGAAATTTTACAAGTGGCATATAGAACTCTGTAAATCTACTTCCTGTGTTCAGTTTATCACCAAAAAGGCCCCCTGATCTCTGGATAGAATCATTTTACCAGTAAACTCAGCCAGTTTTTTATTTGAAATACCAAGCAGAAGGTACTCTGGCATGTCAGACACAAGAAATAAATCCAGTGTAAACTTGGTACTGTGATTCAATAGCACCAGTGTAGTATGAAACACCCGAAGTGTTCAGATGTATGAAGATTCCCAGTACTAAAAATTAGCACTGTTTCAGTGCATGGTGTTTGTGATACATGTGTGGAAACTTTTGAGGTACCCCTGTAGGTGGAGGCAACATTTGCCCCTGAGACTGTATGCAGTTTTACTCCAGCTGTAGATCCATGAGTTTATTGTGGCATCTATTTTGCCTTTCAACACCTAGCAATATTTAAGTAAGTATTTATGAAGCAGCTAGATGGTGATATGTGATGGAGTGAATTAGCTCTAAGATGAGGAATGTGTATTTTTTGAAGCTGTAGTTCCAGAATTTGCATCTTTTAGGATTTATTTTGTATTTTCATCATAGATTTGATGTATCAAAGCAAATGTTCCATACAATCAGTGATTGATATTTAAGAATCACGCTGTTTTCCAACTTTCACTAGAAATCCTCATTTTATTTGAACATGTTTTTCAGCAAGCAGCTAGTCTTTTTAGCTGCAGAGTATAAGATATTGAATAAGGAGGGAAGCAGTATAATTTATTGAATCTAAAAGCTGTGAAAGAAGAATTTTGGGATTTTATTCCTTTTTTATAGTTTCTGTGTGGTGGTTCTTTAAAAAGGCTGTGATTATTATAATTGTTTTAGGAATGTAAATTATGTTGGGTGGAATAGTGGCTCAGTGGTTAGCACTGCTGCCTTACAGCGCCAGGGACCCGGGTTTGATTTGACCCTTGGGCAACTGTCTGTGTGGAGTTTGCACATTCTCCCCGTGTTTGCGTGTGTTTTCCTCAGGTGGTCCAGTTTCCCCTCTCAGTCCAAAGATGTGTATGTTGGGTGGATTAGCCCTGGGAAATGCAGGGTTATAGGGTAGGGCAGGGGAGGGTGGGTCTGCACTGGATGCTGTTTGGAGGGTAGGTGTGGACTTGATGGGCTGACTAGCCTGCTTCCTGTAGGGATTCTGTCGGCAAGAGATGACAGGGAAGAGAACAGGGAAGAATTTAGGGAGTAAATGTTATAAGGTTTTGTTGGGTTTTGAGGTGTTTCTTAGAATAATTGGCTGTTTTGCTGATCATCTTGTTTTCTTTCCTATTCCATAGTGACGTTTTGCTATTGCTACTAGGAGATTCTGACCCACCTACTCTTTTGGAAACGAGCAGGTAGCATTTTGAATACCATGCGTACTAGATTTATGAAGGTCACATAATACTTGATTACTTTTTAGCTAAGTGACTTCATGAATTAACTGTACCTATAAGGAAAATCTAATATGATGGAATTTTATTATGTTGGTAATGGGCCTTCTCTGGAAACTGCCATATTCCTTTTATGAAAGTACTCATATGATTCTGTTAGGCAAGCAATGCTAAGCTTTGGCCTCAGCAATGATGAAGGAACAGCAAGATATATTCAAGTTAAAATAGTGAGTGACTTACTTGAAAATTTGGAGCTAATGTGGTGACATTACATTGCTGCATTTGCTTCTAATTTATGTTCCTGGATGCAATATGAAGTTTGACATCTGGAAGTGTGCAGCCAATCAGTCGGTGTATTTGAGTGTGGTCAGTGTTTTGGATGGGACATGTCAACACCATCTTAATACAAGTGTTAACTTATCTTTCTTTTTCAGATGCTGACTGATTTTGTTTATTTAATGTTATTTTTATCTAACTTGTTTTGTATTTGTGCTGTGCTGTCTAACTCTGAAATGAACCATTTGTCAGTATGGATGAGATGCATCATCTGATCCTAGTTGGCACTATATTTACTGGTCTGGAATTGGTGGTCACTTGTCACAGAACATCTGATCCTGATCATGGAAATGGGCATGATTCTTCATTGCAAATAGTTGATATGAACTAATATGGTTTCAATAAGATGTAAAAGTGTTTGCTCTCTGTTGATTTGAACTATGAGAAGTAACCAACAATAGAATTATCCATCATATACTCAAACTAGGGTTGTATATGGAGGAGCATTGTGCGCTGTAGAATAAGTGGTGTTAATATTCTAAGAATGCTAGGCCACATTGATGCCACTTGTGGCTTCTTGATAATGATCCCTTTTCTGATTAATGCCTCTGTTTTGCAGGTTAATACTGAGCTGTCTTTCTCAGCCAGATGTGTCCAGCATCTGGGTTAACCAAATCCATAAGCAACACTCTGTTCGGGAGAATGTATGCTTCATAATGCAGAGCTCCACAAATGGTAAGTGGTTTACTTTTTTGTGAAAGCCATTTTGTCAAAATGTATGTGATTGGAGAAGTCTGCCTTTGTTTTCATTTTCTCAATTTTCATCTGAGCGATGTCTGCCTGGATGGAAAATTATGAGGTCGGAGAGGAGGCTGCATGAATGTGCATGCCTGTGAATTTGAAACAGTATGGAGTGTGGACTGTTGTATTCTTTGGATGACAAGCTTGCATTGATACATTGACCTGTGGGAGCTTCTCAGTCATGAATTAGTGGGACTGCTATCACTGTTAGATGTTGGAGAATTCAAGCCTACTCTAGGGATTTCAGCGTAAGGTGAACTTAGGGCATGGCTGGGAACATGGGACTGAGATATCATAGCAATTATAGAAATGTGGCTCAGGGAAGGGCATGACTGGCAGCTTAATGTCCCAGGGTATAGATGCTGTAGGAAAGATAGAAAGGGAGACAAGAGAGGAGGGGGAATGGCATTTTTGGTTAAGGATAACATTACGATTGTACTTAGGGAGGATGTTCCTGGGAGAACGTCTAGTGAAGTTATATGGGTATAACTGAGAAATAAGAAAGGGATGATCACCTTATTGGGATTGTACTATAGGTTCCCCAATATTCAGTGGGAAATTGAGAAGCAAATATGTTCGGAGAACTCTGATAATTGTAGGAATAACAGCGTTGTAATGGTAGGAGACTGTTGTAGTGTTAAGGACTTGGATGGAGAGAGATTTATCAAGGGTGTACAAGAACATTTTCTTCAATATGTAGATGTACCTACTGGAGAAGCAGCAAAACTTGCCCTTCTGTTGGAAAATAAGGCAAGTGACTGAGGTGTCATGAGGGATCACTTTGGACCAAGTGATCACAATTCTATTAGTTTTAAAATAGTGATGGAAAAGGATAGACCGGATCTAAAATTTAAAGTTCTAAATTGGAGTATGGCCAATTTTGGTGGTATTAGGCAGGAAATTTCAAAAGTTGATTGGGGAAGGCTGTTTGTGGGTAAAGAGACAGTTGGAAAGTGGGAGACCTTCAAATATGAGATAATGAGAGTTCAGAGATAGTATGTTCCTGTAGTGCGAAGGGCAAGGCTGGTAGGGGGAGGGAGCGCTGGATGACTAGACAAATTGAACCTCTTGTCATGAAAAAGAAGGAGGCATATGTCAGGCAAAGACAACTGGGATTGAGTGAATCCCTAGAGGAGTATAAGGGCAGTAAGAGTATACTTAGGAGGGAAATCAGGGCAAAAAGGGGACATGAGATAGCTTTGGTAAATAGGGCTGAGGAGAATCCAAAGAAATTCTACAAATAGACTAAGGGCAAAAGAGTAACGAGGGAGAGAATAAGGCTTCTTAAAGACCAACAAGGCTGTCTACATGTGGAACCATAGAAGATGGGTGAGATACTAAATGAATATTTCATGTCAGTATTTACTGTGGAGAAGGCCATGGAAGATCAGGAACTTAGGGAAATAAACAGTGATGTCTTGAGAAGTGTCGATGATAGCCGTGATGTGGAGGTTCCAGTGTTGTACTGGGATGGCCAAAGTCAGAAATCACACGACACCAGGGTATAGTCCAACAGGTTTATTTGAAAACACAAGCTTTCAGAGCCTCACTAACACCTAAAGAAGGACTGAGGCTCCGAAAGTTTGTGTTTTCAAATAAACCTGTTGGACTATAACCTGATGTCGTGTGATTTCTGACCTTGAGAAGTGATCATATTACAGAAGAGGAGGTGCTGGTGGTCTTACAACACATAAGGGAAGAGATAGCTGGGCGCCTTGCAGAGATATTTGTATCATCGACAGCTATTGGCGAGGTGCCAGGAGATTGGAGGATGGCTAATGGTGTACTTTTATTTAAGAAAGGTGGAAAGGAAAAGCCAGGAAACTATGGACTGGTGAGCCTGACGTCAGTGGTGGGTAAATTGTTGGAGAGGATTCTTAGGGACAGGATTTACATGCATTTGGAAAGGCAAGGACTGATTAGGGATAGTCAATGTGGCTTTTTGCATGGGAAATCATGTCTCACTAGCTTGATTGAGTATTTGAAGTGGTGACAAAGAAGATTGATGAAGGCAGAATCGTAGACATTGTCTATATAGACTTCACCAAAACCATTTGACAAGGTTCTGCATGGTAGACTAGCTAGCAAGGTTAGATCACGTGGAGTCTAGGGGGAGCTAGCCAATGGATACAAAATTGGCTTGAAGGTTGGAGACAGAGGGTGGTGACAGAGGTTTATTTTTCGGACTGGAGGCGGTGTGCTGCAAGGTTCGGTGTTGAGTCCACTGCTTTTAGTCAGCTATATAAATGATTTGGATGTGAACATAGACGTATTGTTAGTAAGTTTGCAGACATCACCAAAATTGGTGGTGTAGTGGATTAGTGAAGAAGGTTATCTCAGAGTACAACAGGTCAAGAAGTGGTAAATGAAGTTTGATTTAGATGAATGTGAGGTCTTGCATTTTCGTAAGTCAAACCAGGGCGGTCCTTATACAGTTAATGGTACAGCCCTGGGGAGTGTTCCAAACAAAGAGACCTATGGGTGCTGGTGCATCGTTCCTTGAATGTGGAGTCGCAGGTAGACAGGGTGGTGAAGAAGTGTTTGGTATGAGAGATAGTAGGAACTGCAGATGCCGGAGAATCCGAGACAACAAGGTGCAGGGCTGGATGAACACAGCAGGCCAAGCAGCATCATAGGAGCAGAGAGGCTGACGTTTCGGGCCTAGACCCTTCATCAGAAAAGGGGGAGGGGAAGGGAAGGGGGCTCTGAAATAAATAGGGAGAGAGTGGGAGGCGGATAGAAGATGGATAGGTGGAGAGGAAACAAACAGGTCGAAGAGGCGGGGTTGGGGCCAGTAAAGGTGAGTGTAGGTGGGGAGTTAGGGAGGGGACAGGTCAGTCCAGGGAGGACGGACAG